GAGGACAAGCAAAGGCTTAAGTGTGGGGGAATTTGATAAGTCCGTATTTTGACACGCATTTGATGCGTGTTGAGATCGGCTTTTGATGATTTTCCTAGTTTTAAGGTGTTACAAGTCTCAATTTTAGCTCAAGTTATGTTTACCAGGCGTTGGTTCGAGTTTTGTGTCATTTGGAGTCAAAATCAGGAATTTAGAGTTCGGCAATGGCGCTTGAGGAGAAATCGGGATGATTCGAGATGCATTCGAGAGTGGATTGAGAGCTTTGGAGGTCACCGGGAGGTTCACGATGAAGATTTGATGACAAAAGAGCTCTAGGATTGGCTATGGGATCAAAAGAAGATGAATGAAGCTGGAAAACGACGATCAGGATGACCTTTTGTCAATCGTTCAAGCATATCTCTTTGTATAAGCATCCAAAGGATACGATTCAAGTTGCATATGAAAGCCAACTTCAAGGGCTACAAATCATATGAAGACACCATTACGAGAATATGAGAGAAAGAAGGTGAAAACAGACGATGAAGTCAGATGATCTCTGCTGCGATTTCAGAATGACACCTTCCACCATTTTAGTCATATCTCTTGATTGGATGATTCAAATCACATTCGGCAAATTGGGGTGGATAGAGGACTTCATTATCTACAACTTTCATGAAGGAAGTTTTGTCAAATTCGGAATAGAAAAAAGGCTGAAGAGCACGGACGCACGATCGTGCGTAAAAGGACGCACGATCGTGCGTAAGAGCCAACAACGCGGCAACTAATCTGCCTGCTACGCACGATCGTGCGTGGCAAGGTACGCACGATCGTGCGTACACCCGAGACGCGGATTTCAGCCCTTTTTTAGTCCCAGTTCAGCCCAAACTCATCTGTTTTCTATAAATAAGACCCCCATACCCATATTTTGACGTTACGAACATTACGGAGAGGCCTAGGGACGGATTTAACACCGTTTTTACGCTATTTTCTTCCAAGACCCTGGGATTATTTGTAAGTTCATCTTTTTAATTAATGACAATTTATTCTATTCATCTCAATTCTGTTGATTCTTCAATTATGAATTGTGAGTAGTTTAATTAGAGATTTGGGGTTGATGAAGGGGTTAATCATGATGTATGGCTAGATTCTTGTCGGTTTAATTGCATGAATGCCGTTTAATTTGTGTTTGAATAATTTAACTGATATCTCTTGTAACCTAGACTGCAGCTAGAATTACAATTGCATGTAGAATGAATTAAGAGAGATCTAATTTGTTCTAGGACACATTCACACACACTTAATCGTTCGCTAAGAGATTAGTAGCGATTAAGGGGCCGTAAGCTTGCTCGTCTTGGCAATAATTTAGGATCCTGTCGCATGAGAGATCAGCCTGGTATCCTAAATTATTGTACTCTACGCCGCGAGAGCGGTAAGAACTTAGTAATGATTAGCTAGGCTCAATTAAATTAAATTCATGTAATTAGGCCTGATCTGCCAGAAATCTGGTTACCCCGGAATCAAACCCTATTCCCTTCGTCGTTAATTGAGAAGAAACCACTTTTATTTTAATCGTTCAATTCGCATTAGTTTAATTTTAATTCACCAATCAAATCTCGCACACTTGCATTTATTTATTTTATTTCTTTTTAATCGCTGAATTTAGTTAATCTTTAATTCCCTTTTGTCCGTCCCTGTGGAGACGATACTCGTACTTTCAACCACTATTCTACAAACTATTTTAAGTGCGAGAAAACTCACATCAAGCCACCTACCATCAAGGTGGCTCTTGTAACGGAAATCGTTACAATATCCGCCATCATTGCACCACACTCATGGGACATTATTATTTGATTAATTCAAATATTTCAAAATAATGTTACATTCTCCCACTTGGTGCAATGGATAACCTTAAGAAACAAAAGACATGAACCATAGTGTTACGTCCTCTTAGCTTGAGTAGTACCACTAGTGATCACAATGTATGTTGCCCCTTAAGTTATGGCAAAACTTAATGAATAAACCTTATGTTTATTGCTGGTCCAAAAATAATGGTACATTTTTCTCAACATAATGAAGTGTGCACATCTTAATGAGAAAAATGTCTTAATGCATAAGGATTTCGTAAATAACTGAATGTATTAATACAAATTGGAACAAAGTCCCATATTCGACACATGATCCTTGAATTTGAATGGTGGCATGCCTTTAGTCAAAGGATCAGCAATCATCAACTCTGTGCTAATGTGCTCAATGACCACTATCTTATTTTTGACGCGCTCCCTTATAGACAAATATTTGGTGTCGATATGCTTAATTCGACTCCCACTATTGTCATTCTTTGATAGGAAGACCGCAGCAGAGTTGTCACAATAAATCTTTAATGGCCTAGATATTGAGTCCATAACTCTAAGTCCAGAAATGAAATTCTTAAGCCATACACCTTGCGATGTAGCCTCAAAACAAGAAATGAGCTCGGCCTCCATAGTAGAAGTAGCGACCGAAGTTTGTTTGGCGCTCTTCCAAGAAACAGCTCCACCGGCCATGATAAAAATATATCCCGAAGTCGATTTCCTTGAATCAACACAACCGGCGTAGTCCGAGTCAGAATAACCCACAACTTCCAAGTTGTCAGTTCTTCTATACACAAGCTTGTAATCAATTGTTCCCTTAAGATACCTCATGACCTTCTTAGCAGCTCTCCAGTGGTCCAGACCTGGATTACTCTGGTAGCGGCCCAACATCCCGACAACAAAGGAAATATCCGGCCTAGTACAAACCTGGATATATCCCAAGCAACCAACTGCCGACGCATATGGGATATTATGCATGGATTTTCTTTCAAAATCATTCTTTGGACATTGGTTCAAACTGAATTTATCTCCTCTCACTATGGGAGCAACACTCGGTGAACAATCCTTCATCCGAAACCTCTCTAAAACTTTGTTGATATAGGTTTCTTGTGATAGACCCAGAACACCAAGAGATCTATCCCTATGAATCTTTATGCCAATGACAAAAGATGTCTCACCCATATCCTTCATATCAAAGTTTTTAAAGAGAAATTGTTTCACTTCATGTAGCATCCCCTTATCATTTGTTGCGAGCAAAATGTCATCCACATATAAAACAAGAAAACAAATGTTACTCCCACTAACCTTCTGGTATATACAATGATCCATGGGACTTTCAACAAAGCCAAATGAAGAAATTATCCCATCGAATTTAAGATACCATTGTCGGGAGGCTTGTTTTAAACCGTAAATGGATTTATTAAGCTTGCAAACTAAATGCTCACCATGACTAGAAGAAAAACCTTCAGGTTGTTTCATGTAAACCTCTTCTTCTAGATCACCATTAAGAAATGCTGTTTTCACATCCATTTGTTGCAATTCAAGATTGAAATGTGCAACTAAAGCTAAAATCACACGAAGGGAATCTTTCTTAGAAACAGGAGAGAATGTCTCCTTGTAGTCAATTCCTTCGATTTGAGTAAAGCCTTTAGCAACAAGTCTTGCTTTATATCTATCAATGTTGCCTAATGAATCTCTTTTGGTCTTATAGACCCATTTACAGCCAACAGCCTTGGCCCCATTAGGCAACTCTATTAGATCCCAGACTTTGTTACTCTTCATGGAGTCCATTTCTTCCTTCATAGCTTTGTGCCATAAATCGGACTCCGGGCTACTCATGGCTTGTGAAAACGTTTCAGGATCATTTTCGGCTCCAATGTCAGTTTCTTGCAAATACACTTCATAATCGCTAGAAATTGCTGGCTTTCTAACTCGAGTAGATCTTCTTAATGTTAAACCATCATCTCCATGAGGATCTTCCGGTTCAACAACCTCCTCAGGAATTTGATTATCCTGAATAGGTGGATCCACTGGAATATTTCCAGCATATTGTGGAATATTAGATTGATCAGTACCAATTTGATCTTGAGGGGTACTGTGTACAATAATCAACCTCTGTGATGACGTGGAAGGTTGGGATTCCATATGATCATGAACAGGAATTAAATCCCTGAACCGATCTCTCCCACTAACTACGTCATTCTCAAGAAATTTTGCATTTCTTGATTCCACAATCCTAGTCGTATGAGATGGACAATAAAACTTGTAACCCTTAGAGGTCTGTGCGTATCCAATAAAGAAACCACTAATAGTCCTTGGGTCCAATTTCTTCTCATGTGGGTTATAAATTCTCACTTCAGACGGGCATCCCCAAATACGCATATGTTTCAAACTCGGTTTCCAACCTTTGAATAACTCAAAAGGTGTTTTAGGGACAGCCTTGGTTGGAACTCGGTTCAAAATATACGTTGCCGTCTTTAGTGCTTCAGCCCACAAAAACTTAGGAAGATTGGAGTTGCTAAGCATACTCCGCACCATGTCAATAAGCGTTCGGTTTCTCCTTTCCGCAACACCATTTTGGTCCGGAGACCCAGGCATGGTGTATTGGGCAACAATCCCATGCTCTTGAAGAAACTTAGCAAACGCACTAGGTGCTTGTCCATTTTCAGTGTATCTACCATAATATTCACCACCTCTATCGGATCTAACTATTTGTATTCGCTTCCCACATTGATTCTCAACTTCAGCCTTAAAAGACTTGAAGGCATCCAATGCTTCATACTTATTTTGAAGCAAATACACATAGGTATACCGAGAGTAATCGTCAATAAAGGTGATAAAATATTTCTGACCCGGCATGTCCATATCTGGACAACATATATCAGTATGTATGATTTCCAATATACTTGAACTCCTATTGGCACCCTTTTTAAACTTGTTTGTTTGCTTACCCTTAATGCAATCTACACAAGTTTCAAAATCAGAAAAATCAAGAGTACTAAGTACCCCATCATTAACTAATCGCTTAATTCTTTCAATGGAGATGTGACCCAATCTTCGGTGCCATAACATAGAGGAATTCTCGTCAACACTGGGTCTTTTGGAGCCAGTATGCACATGAAATGAATTAAGTGTGGCATCATTTTGCAAATCAATACGGTAAAGACCATCAGACAAAGTACCTTTTCCAACAAAAGTAGATTTATTGAATAAATCAATAACTTTATTCTTGAAATTGAAGGAAAAACCGAATGGTACTAGTCTTGAAATTGAAATCAAGTTTCGTGAAAACCTTGGTACATAAAAAGTCTTTTCCAAAGTTAAAACAAAGCCACTACTTAAAATTAAGGTGCATGTTCCAATGGCTTCCACATGTGAGCCCATCTTGTTTCCGGATAAGATGCTTTGCTCACTTCCCACTGGCTTCCTTAGATTCTGCATACCCTGTAAAGAGTTTGCAACGTGGATTGTAGAACCAGAATCAATCCACCATGAATTAGTGTTAACATCACACATATTGGATTCATGACAAACAAAGGAGGATAAAATACCTTTATTCTCCAACCACTTCTTGAACTTGGCACAATCTTTCTTCATGTGTCCTTTCTTTTTACAGAAATAACACTTATGTACCTTCTTAATGTCAGCCTTGGGTGGTATTTTACCTTTACCCTTAGCTTTAGAGGTGGTTGTACGAGACTTGTCAAATTTGTTCTTGGCTAAGGTTGTAGCTAGCATGACACTTTCACCCAACTCCATTATGAGCCTTTCTTCTTCTTGCACACACATGGTCATTAGTTCATTAATTGACCACTTATCCTTATGTGTGTTATAAGAGATTTTAAATGGCCCATAGTGGTGAGGAAGGGTATTCAGAATGAAGTGCACCAAGAACGCCTCCGACATTGTTACCTCCAAATTTTGCAATTGAGCCGCTATGTCCCGCATCTTCATGATGTGCTCTCGCACACCCTTAACGGTTGTGAGACGGAGTGAGGAGAATTTCATGATTAAGGTACTTGCTAAGGCCTTTTCCGAAGTGACAAATTGATCATCAATAGCCTTAAGCAAGTCATTGACATTCTTATGCTGATCAACCGAGCCACGAATTCCAGCTGAAATTTTAGTTTTTATAAACATTACACTGAGCCGATTGGATCTCTCCCATCGCTCATATAGCGCAATTTCAGCCGGAGTACTTTGTGCATTAATGGCGGGCGGTTCATCCTTCCTAATAGCATAATCAATGTCCATGCAACCTAAGTGTAGGAGAACTCTTTCTCTCCAAACCTTATAGTTGTCACCAGTTAGTTCGGGAATTTCAAGGCCTAACGAAAATTCGGAATGAGTAATGGGTTGAGAAGCTGAAAAGGTCCATATATAGCTTGTGTTAGTTTTGAGGTACATATATAACTGAATTGCATGAATTACCAATGTAAATAATCCACCATGATGACTCAACCGCCATAAAAATTGCCTGTGGGCTAAATTCTTATGCATGAGTCTTAAATAATTTTGTACCCATACCGATAAACATATCAAACTATATTCCGAATCATAATTTCCTGTGGGATAAATTATGACCATAGTCCGATATTTTATCCTAATTAATCATACAAAATACAACAAATTTCCTGTGGGATAAATTGTGTCATATTGCGTATAATTAATTACAAATTTTATGCCTAACTTTAGTGTGATTTTCGCCAAAGGCTTCTTAATATATAATTTTAATTAATTAAGCATGTTGTGGCTACTCCAAAATTAATAAAATTATATTATCACAAAGGCAATCCTTTAAAGCTTAAAACAACATTCGTGATGGACAATCCCCAAATATGCTCCCAGGATAGTCGGACGGGGCTAGGATTTATTAAAAAATAATTCTTTAGACAAATTAACAATTCAAGGAAAACTAGTATCAAAATTGAAGCGTAACTAGTTTGTACTTCCCAAGAATTTCCCCGATTAAACCTCTCACGTTAATTGTTGTTTGGGTACTACCACAAATAATTTATTCATGGGAAAAACTTTAAAGGTAACGGAATGAGAACTTTATTTACTTAATGTGCTTAAATTTTAGGCACTATGTCATTTACAATTATGCATAAGTTCAACTTTAATGGGAATAATATGTGCATTGATTCCCGACGTTATGCATTCAAGGCATTAATTTAAGACGTTACGCATTTGAAGGCATTAATAATACGTTACGCATCAAAGATATTAATTATACGTTATGCACTAAATACTTCAATATTACGCATTAAAGGCATTAATATAGTGCACAGTTTCAATGCAATGCATAAAAATTAAAATCAATGCATCACATAATAATTAAAATAAATGTGCTGGAAAAAGAATTAAATTGTTCCAAAATCCAAATTAATTTATCCAAATTAAAATAGCACAATTGAATTCATTCAAAGTGGATCCCAAATATAGTAATAAGTCCAAAACTTATTCTATAACTTCATGGAGAAATTCGGAAAACATAAAAAAGAGCCATGGCGTTCCTTATGAAGGCGCATCAAAACTCTCATGCACTACCGCCGTAGCACCCTATGGTGCTACATCAACCGGCGGCCACCATATCCGATAGCATCTCCTCCACACATACAAATACCAATCATAGATACAAAATACTACATGTTCAATTTCATATATACATGTAGAAACGCCATATGTATGTATGTAAAATATATCAAAAAATTATTAATTAGCCATCCGTTTTAATATTTTCCGAATTATAAACGGATAGAAGAATCACAAAACATTGCGAAGCACATGTATATACACACGGTTCATATACATGCATATATATATTTCATAAATTTAAAACACTTAAATTCAAGAATTAAATGTCACCATAACCATTCCATCAAACATAATGATAGGAATTTAAAAGGTTAACATATGAACTTGAGAAAATCATATGCATATATCTCTCAAAATTAAATATATATATATACAGAGTATGATCCGGTCAGGAGCTCCTGACCGGAACCGCCGTCCGGACCAAGGCGTTTGGCCGCCTTCCCGGTGGCTTTTTTTGATGAAATTTTTATGGCATGTTCTCCATCAAGTCTAGTTTATCCACAAAAAATTTCAGCCAAAAACTAAATCGGGAAGGTCGTCAAATGATTTTTGCAAGTTAGCTGGTCCGGAAAATACATATTCCGGACCAGTTAACTTGCAAAAATCATTTGACGACCTTCCCGATTGAGTTTTTAGCTGAATTTTTTTGTGGATAAACTAGACTTGATGGAGAACATGCCATAAAAATTTCATCAAAAAATTACACCGGGAAGGCGGCCAAACGCCGCGGTCCGTACGGCGGTTCCTGTCCGGACGTCCGGACAGGAATATTTGTCTATATATACATATAACAATTCAAATTCATAAACTCATATGATTTCCGAACAATTATTATATAATTTTCGGACAACATATATGTATGATTATAGGACATACGATTATATATAAAATCATACATAAAATTATACTTCGTATGACACAAATATACATACATATGTCATACGAACACACACAAAAATCCATGCTTCCATATGAACACATACGAATATACATGAGCACACACATATGGTTCAATTCATGCATATGACATGGAAATCATGTTAAACATATACACATATATATATTTATATATAATATATACGAACAAAACATATATGTGTGTGATGTGATGAACACATATATGAACATGTATATACCGAATGTTCATATAAAATTCATGATGTTCATACAACAAATAGGCAGAGATTAAACAGGCTCTGATACCAAATGTTAGCCTAAAATCATAACAACGCAGCGGAAATAATAGGATCGCTAACCTCCAGCCATATTGTTGATGAACGGTCGAAGAACGTGGAAGAACACCGGAAATCCTTTTCGTCTCCCACTTCACTCCTCACTCTAGATGGTGTATATTGCTTAGAGCCTATTCGGATATGGAGCTAAGCATACATGTGAATGTATGTTGTGATAGGAGGAGTGGGAGGACCATGGAGCACTTATATAGCCACCTACCATCAAGGTGGCTCTTGTAACGGAAACCGTTACAATATCCGCCATCATTGCACCACACTTATGGGACATTATTATTTGATTAATTCAAATATTTCAAAATAATGTTACACGAGTTTGCTCATTTTTCTATTTTTTGGACGGTTGAACCTTTGGGTGATTTTGACATTTGAGCGCAGAACTTTCTATGGAAAAATGAAAATCTTCTTATTTTCATAGAGACCAAATAAATAAAATAGTTCTTGCACAATTTCGTTCACTTTTCCCTCTTATGTTTCTGGCACTGACAAACCATTTTAGTTTTTGGTCTTTAGGAGGATGCATATGCTATTTCTCCCTGTTGTTTGATCTTTTGAACTAATTAGTCTTTATAATAATCTATTCAGTTTTTTTATGGCCTATTTTAATTATTGAGCATTTGATATTTATTGCAGTTCACAGAATGTTTTATACCCTTACCTTGCATTTTCTAGACGACTGTTGACAGGTGATTGATTTGTTTACTCATTATAGTATGAAATCTGAAATGGATTCTAAGGGCAGCAGCACTTTGATGTACTAGCGACATGTTACTGTTTTGGACCGTTTATTGATGTAACTTCCCTCAATAGTCTCTAAGACTATCTCCATGTATAGCTAAGAGAAAATTATCGAGATATTTTTAAATCATACTAGTATATTTAAAATTGTTTTAGTAACTATTGGACATTGACCTCGCACAATGTGCGGGCCAATGCAAAAAAAAAGGATGACACCCCATCCCTGAGGACCCCCCAACACCGACCAGACGGCACGATGGGAGGATGTAAATTGGACTATAATCACAATCTGACAGATAGAGAGTGGGGCTCTGTCCCCGGTACTTGCAGAAGCCCGGCCCTATGCATTTTTCAGCATAGTAACCCCTCATCGCAGTTGCCGGGATTCGAACCCGAGACCTAACCCTTGTGGCACTCCCTCGCTACCAGTTGAGCTACGTCCACCGGTATGCGGGCCAATGCAAGTAAACTACATAGAAGCTTATTTCTAATAAATGACTACTTGTGTGTAATAACACTACAAAAAAACATGGGATTGGCACGAAAATTTGGCACGGATTATCGATTTTTCGTGCCAAAGTTTTTTTATACGGATTTGACATAATTCCTGCCAAAATCTCTATTAAACCGGTGTTTTTTTGGTAGTGTAAGTACATGGTGGACCGTCTTGACTCTGACCTATACCTCGTCATCTTTTTGCGAGAACGGGAGTGAGTGGGGTTCTAACTTTTGAGTGTAATGAAAACGCCATGGCCCATCACAGTTTAAAATTATTCCAATAATGGTTGGAGTCTAAAACCACATGATCCACAGGATTATAAATATGAAACTATAACTAACATGGCTGTTAAATTTGTTAATTACTTTATTTTATACAACAGGACATTAGGACATGTGATTGTGCAACGTTATCCGGCAACATATGGTACAGGCATATCTGTTTACATAATAAAAATAATAATACATCATAGACTACCACGATATTTAATCTAATTTGAGTTGGCTATTGAATATTGTATCTCCCTTGACAAACCCTATTGGCGGTTCTCTTGAGTATTTGATTATGTTCACTCGTTCTCATGGCCCAACCCCCATCAATGGATCTAAAAAATGTTCGAGGTCGTCTGAATGGAAATACTTCTTCCCAATTGGGAACTTGGAATAACTTTTCCAAATCTCTGAGAGAAAGAATGATTTGATAATTTAGTCCTTGATAAGGTTCATCGATGGAGTAAAAAGGAATGAAAGATAAGTGTAATTAATAGCTAATGCATGCACCATTACTAAAAATAAAACATGAATATATATGTTGTTCAATTACCGTCTTATTACAAATATATTATGAGGAGTCATTGGAATCGGAACAGTTAGATAAGTATTGCAGAGTTCCTCATCAGATTGGTTTCGCAGTGATTCAATATACTTCAAATATCTTTTGCCCCTATAAATTGAAAAAAAAATCAAAACATATAACAATCACAAAAATAGTAAATGATAAATCTTAAGTGTTAGGGCTTTACAAGATCCCAAATTCTTCATAATAGATAAATTAAGGAATTCCCGAAATAAGAGAAAAAATAATGTGCAATTCAAAAATAGAAGTACTTCGTACGGAGTAGTATTTATGGTCTGATCCGGTCTGGTCTTGTAAATGTATCATCTCTGTGTATTTTATAAATATATAAGTCTGGTCTGATCTGGTCTGATTCGGTCTAGTTTGGGATTGAAAACAGTTCAAGTAAAACATCCTAAATAGGTGAGCATAAATTATCGCCATCCTAAAATAAAATTAACATATTCTGACATTTTCAGGAATAAATATGGCAATATTATTTTCATTATTGATAGTATTTTCAAACATGACAATATTAGCCCATTTAAGTGAAAAACATAGTAATTTTGTTATGAAATTTCACATTATTTTTACTTTTATTTAGGACTCTTTATTATACATACTCTATGTAGATTATAGCCATGTTGGGAGGATACCTAGAAACATAAGCAATAGTGAATTGGTCAGACTCAATATCATATGTCTCGAGCAATCTATTATCCCAATTGGGGTCCCTTAGACAAGCGCGTTCTCGAATACGCCGAATATATTCATCAGGACCTTTTGTAGTCTCATGAAAGGTTGCTGGAAATATTGACCCGTTGCCAGTTTCCACCTAAAAACACATATTTCCCGATAATTAATAATGAAAACAACCTAGCTAGCTCACTTATATTAACTACCTAGAGTTGTTTTCTCATACTCTCTTTGTCCCTTAATTATAACTTACGTTCCTTTTTAGTTTCAATATATTGAATTTTACATTATTCACAAGTTTAACTTTGACTACATTTTATTTATTAATATATATGACTTTTTATAAATCTAATTTGTTATATACGTAGTATTTACTAATAGAGAATTAAATATACAGTCAAGGTTGAGCTTTGGCAAATATGAACATGAGAGTGTTGCAACTAAAAACAACGGAATAAGTAATTTATTCAAAGTTAACAAATGCAGGCAATACTAAAATAAAAATTGTATGATTGATATATGTGCAGAGGAGACCTGATTATTAGGAACTACCAGTTAATTATTTTTATAAACGGACTATGGTTACGTTATTGAGACCATCTATCACAATAAGAGAGTGGATTAAGTTAAATTATAAGGGATAAGGTATCAAGAGAATATCACATACCAGAAAACCTTTGAGAAATGGATAAGCATTTCCTTCTTCATCATATATGGTGTTGTCATTAAGAATATACATAGTTTGAATGTTAAATCTTTTGTTGCTTTTCCAAAGGACTTCAACTATCTTCAAACAAATGAAAGTGGAAGTTCCATCCCACGTTCTACAACTTTGTTGCGGTGAAGTATTGTAACCACCAATTATATGAACCTACATATCACATCATATCATTAAGAACATGTTGCAAATAGAATAACATTAGGAACTGTATATGAACTCTATTTAGGATAAGTGTAGGACATGTCGATCTTTCATTTTCTTAATTATACTTCGTATTTTATACACATCCAATACTCTATCAAATAATTTGTGTTGTATTATTACACCCAAAATTTAAATACTCCATATATACAGACGACTAATTTAAGTACTACGTATATGGCTTCTGCCATAATCCTCGTTGTATAGTTGTATACGTCATTTTTCATTTAATTTAAAATATTGATCTACTAAATTAGTAAATTTATGCATTTATCGTGGCAATGCTTGGATAAAACATTTGTAAACCTGAAACCTCACCTAATGTGAATATGTGATGATGTAGGGTGGATATTTTTTTAATATTTATTATTCAAGTTTTCATGTTCGCGCTCTCATAATTTTGAAGTCTATGAAGTATGAACTACCTTCGGAACTCCTAGACAGTCGAATTTGAATTTGGTGATGGTCAACCTTTATTGGTACTGGCTTTAAAGGATTAATCCATAGGTGCTGAAGGCTCGGAGACAAGTGCATATATTAATTGTACAGACTGAGAATTAGGAAATTAATATAATATTTGGTGGTAATAATAAACTTAGACAAAAGGCTTTTTTTATGAGAACCAATAATACAAAGAAAACACTTTTATAAGTGTTAGCTATTAATTTCGGTCTTCCATTTTTTAGTCAATAGCTAAAATTGATGATGTAGCACTTATGAGTTTTGAAATTCATTTAAAGTATTTGTATAAAAGGCACTTTTTCAACTTAGAGTGATTGCAAAAAGACTACTTGTGCATGACTGAAAGGTCATGTACCAAATAAAAGCCCAATTCAAAGTAGTAGAGTCCGGAGGGCAGTTCGTATTAGACCGGTCTGACAGGAACCGCCATCAGATCGATGCCATTTGGGGACCTTCTCGGTGGAATTTTTTGGTGAAATTGTTTTAGAATGTTCCTCATCAAGTTTAATTTATCCATACCAAATTTCAGCTAAAAATTCAATCGGGTAGGCAGTTAAACAAACTCCCTACGAAAACTGTACGTACTTTTATATATATAAACAGCGCAGTTTTAGTAGGCAATTTTTTCACTTTCTTCTAGATTGAATTTTTAGCTGAAATTTGGTATGGATAAACTAGACGTTATGAGGAACATGCTCAAAACCTTTCATCAAAACATTCCACCGGGAAGGGCCCCAAAAGCTCTCGACCGGACGGCGAGTCCTATCAGGCTAGCCTGACAGGATCGCTACTCGTAAAGTGTGTTCTTAAAATAAATTAAAATGAGTTCTATATAGTACGTACGTCCAAAATGTCATCACTTTCTTCATCGCATATGGAGGATAACATCTGGGTTAGACCAACCTCAACGATATAGGAATAAATTATATGGGCAACAGAGATCCTGCAACCAATGTCGAATTGAAAAATATGGCACATGAATCTATATTGGAGATTTGCTTCACAGTCCAAACAGGATGTTTTTACTTAGACGATAACTTGCTGGTCTGGTCTAGTTAGCAGTGGTCTGGTCCGGTAATGGCATCGTTTGTTTCCTAGCGGATTGGTACTCACCCGCTGCAAAAAGCAGCGTTTCCAAGTATAAAAACATTAGCGGTTTGGCTAATCCGCTGCCTTTCCAAACGGAGCTAATATCTGGTCTATTTGTATTTTTATAACTATCCAAGTCTGGTCTGATCTGATCTGGACTCTTTTGATCTGGTCTGTTCTGATCTGATTTGACCTTATCTGGGACAGATAACAGTCCCCAAGTAAACACATTATTAATTTCATAAAAAAACAAAACATGCACGTAGAATGAATTTGGTTATTTCTTATACCTTCCGGTTTTCGGATTTCGTATGACAAGCCCTACGCAAGTTTGCTGACCATCAGTGCCAACAATCTTTAAGATGTACAAAATCACAAAAAACATACGAGTAAATTATTAGGCATTAGGGAATGCGAAAAAAGAATACTAATAGATAAAATCCTCAAACTTCTATAGACTAGGAGTCCACGACACATTGTAGAAGAAATAGAGAGAATATGATCTGAACTTATATTCACGTTAGCCTTGAATGGGCTGTATATATACAAGTGTTATGATACATGATAAGATCAAACCTTAACAACTTTGACTAAGGATAAGAACAAATAAGATAGACATAGTGTTAAACTAACTCTACGTAAAGTGTGCAGACTAATAATTATCTAGTTGCTATTCTATCACACATGCATTTAGGGGTGGACAGTGAAACTAGATATCGAATGGACAAAAATTGAATCGCAATCAAAATAAATGAACTTTTATTCAGTTTTCTTCTCTACAAATCAAATAGAATCCCATAAATTGAACTGTTTAAAACTTAAAAGCACCTGGCCTTAACCTCACCACCTGGCTCCTCATCCAATCTCATTAAAAGTAATCCCTCCGTCCCAGAAACAACTTCTCATTTTGACTTGAGCACATTTGAGTGAAAAGTTAAAATGGATAGTTGACTTTCCAATAATATCTCTTTATGTCAAGTAAAAACTGCGTAAAAAGTATGGGCAGTTTTGATATTTTCTATGGAAAAGTAACTTTTTATGGAAATGAGAAGTTTGTTTTGGGACACTCAAATAAGAAAAGTGGGAAGTTGTTTTGGGGACGGGTAGTATCTTTTTTGTCAACACCAAGTGATTCCGATTTCATCGGACTAATTAAATATGGGCTCTAAAGAACCCATTTATCAAAACCCTTAAAAGAAGTAAATCAGACTCACTTTGATCTTACAATTAGCTAGGTTACCACTGTCATCTATACACTACCCCACATAAAAATCATTCAAAACTAACTAATTATGGGTGCCCTCACGTTCTCAATCAATACAGTTACCAAAAGCATTGTCTTAATGACTTGAACTCAACAATTTTTGTATGAGAGGATCTTAAGTACGGAAATGAACCACATGGTTCTCATTATGCGTGGCCTCTAGCTTTATATTGTGAGGGTTTTTACTTTTTAGGGCCTACAAAACCATTTAGCTTGCCCTCATTCATTCCTAGCTAGAACCATTTTTATAATGAACATCTTTACCCCATCTTGAAATTATACATATAAAACATAAATAACATAAACCTAATTAGATATCATGATAAGCTAATTAAGTTTTTTATATAGAGATGATAATTGATAAGCTAAGGTTTAGTTAGTGATATGAGAGCAAACATTACTTACGTCAACCATGCAAGGATCCACAGTGGCATATTCTCTTTGGTAAATATAAACCCATCTAGTTTCTCTTGTGACAAGGAAATCAGATTTATCGCAAAGAGAAAAAGTTCTTTCTGGAAGGGCCTTATATGAAGAAGATGCAGACATCAAAGCAGGATGTCTCACTAAGGAGTTGAGAATATCTACTACTCCCTGCTCAAAGCAACAAAAGACATGCATTATCCCACATTCCCACGTCATTTTGTAGATTTCTTAACTAGAGATCTTAAGAATTTAAAGGGTTGTAATTTAATACTAATAAATATACTACTTGAGGTAGTGTACAACTGTACATTATAAAACATACATTGTAGATAGATAAATTTCATTTTTATAAAACATTTCAATTGATTCCATAGAACTAGCTTAGTCTCGTCAGTGCTATATGAAACATTTTTGTGCATGAAACTTTAGCTAGTACGAACTACGAAGCCTATAAAAAGTTAAAGTTATCGTGAAACAATTGAAATAATTATACATTTTGAAAACATACACACATTTTTAGGTTTTTGGAGTTTGCACTTTGAAAACATTAACCAGTTAACCACTTAATTACTTGATGTGCTACAACAATCCACATTTGTGCACTAAAAGCATAGTTAGTTTTTATCATTTTAAAGTGCAAACAGCTTTGGGTAGCATTATACTCATATATTATTTGGACATGACATCTTGAGTTCTTCGGGAGTATTAAGCATTGTATGGACCACACTCAAAAATGACGACGCCACTATAAAAAAGAACAATGATGAACCGGCGAAAAAAGTGAACGATATGATCAATGACACAATCCAGATGAAGTATATAGTTGTAAGGAGATATGTTAAAGTCTCACATTGATAAAATATAAAGTAATAAAATGTTACATATCTTGGACTACTCTTTGGGATTTACATAAAATCTTACGGATTGGCATAAAACCTAATCCACTATTAGGAAAAAACTAAATTTGGTTTGGTGTCCATTTGAACTTTATAAGTCCTCAAAACCTGAATTGGTATATTGGACAGATGCACGTGTCATGCACGTGGTACATTCAAATCATGAACTACGATTTGTCCGACACAAATCGAGTTTTTTCAAATACAAAATGAGCAAGTATTGTATAAAACGAACGAGTTTGAGGAAGGGATTCAGCTTAGCTGGTCACCGACTCACTCTCCCTTACGGAAGATCTCAAGTTTGAAATTCAATGGACTAAGTTTCAGTACTGATTACTCTAGGCCCCCCAGACGTCTTCGGGAGTAAAAAAAATAAATGAGTGGGAAAATTACAATTTTAAAATTAGTACACGTTGAAGAATTGAAGTTGCGAAATACCGGATATAAAATACATACCCAGATATCATTTTCTTTCAAAAAAACAAGGACAAATCTTTGATTTCGAGTCAAGGGGACAAATTTTATTTCGTTAGCCTAGGTGATGGAAAAAAATCACTAGTGTAGTGGGGCAAAAAAATCAATCGCTAGTGTTCCGGGGCGATTAAAGTGTAATGTATTGATACATTAATGCGTAATAAATGACAAGTAATCAAAGGAATATTATTTGAAGATAAAAAAGTATATGTAACATTTTATCATATTATTTGAAGATAAAAATTTTAAAAAGTACACATCCACCAATGATTTTTAAATAATTTTGTCTTGTTTAACTACATGAATCTTATCAGAGTAAAGAATTGGTTTTTGAATTCCAATTCTTGTCCACCAAAGAGGTGTTCGTGAGTCATGTGGATCTTTCTTAATATTACAATAGTATATGTATGACATTATTATTTTTAGAATAATTTTATATTGCTAATTCATATATATGGTACATATTATATTTGTATTAATGCTAAAATATGTTAAAGTTTATTATGTTTGCAATAATTTGTTTATTGAAAGTAAGTAATTGAATTGTGTAAGGGCTCATTTGGTAACACTCAAATCGACGATATCGGCTGATTCTGCTGAATTTTATAAGTTCTAGATGAAGTGGCTGTATTGGCTGATTCTGCTGATTTGTGGGGAAAAAATATTCAAAGTATATTTTATTAATAAATAAAGAAAAAATATATGTAAAATAGTTGTCATCTGCAGTAACTTCAGCCAATACAGCCAAAAAAGTAACTTCAACCTTACTTTTCTTATTACTACAAAATTCAGTGTGCGAAACCAAAAGTTACGTGTTTGGTGAAAAAATGGCAGATAAGCCCGAAAACCCAAAAATCATGGTTACCAAACGGGCTCTTATATTTTGGATTCACTTCACTTGATTTAAAAACTATTTAACTAGTGTGTCTGGTATTTAATATTGTTTGATATTCTACAAAGTTGAGTGCTAGTTATCTTATAAATATAATCAAACAATACTAAACTAGGAATTTAATTGATACAAGTATATAATAAGTATCCTAAATCTTAAACAATGAGGTGTTCTATTATTTATTGGTTCAATTTATTTAAATTATTTTAGATGTTTCTTTTTTTACATCTCCAATAACATACTCCGTATTACATTATGAAGGCTATATATTAATTTAGACAACTCAAGTGTACAAGTTAAGGAGAACGAACACAAATATATTTAATTAAAGTATGAAAATTTTATGAAAATATTACATATGGAGTACGTAGTACATAATAATTTTTACATCCCTGCAAAAAATCATACTCAAATAAGATATTTATTTACCATCAACGTAACAAGCGTTAAAAATCATTTCTCCCGTAAAAACTCCAAACCGTTCACTTTTTCCACAGTGTGATGCACTATTGGATTTATATGTAGCACTTTTTCGAATTGTCAGAAAACTTTCACTTATTTATGAACGGCCACCGCATTATTTTTTATATAGCATGGTTTGATCGAAGTTCAAAAAGTGCAACAGATCACCCATAAAGTGCATTACAGGAAAAAAATAAAAAGTGAACAGTTTTCTTTAGTCACGTTAAAATTGGTTTTTATTTGTTCTGAAGTCTGTGTGTGCACGCACTATTATATTCAACTACTCATAAAATATGGTTTTTAATAATATCATTAACGTTCACATAATATGTGACTATAATAGTAGTCACTAAAAAGAACTTTTATGGCGAGATCAATAGGGACGGATCGGATATGTGACCACATTTTGTGGTTGCAAATAATCATGCGATGTTTTTGCACCCACAAGAATTATATTCAACAAAATTTAGACAATGGGGTGGATATTCTTTTCCTAGACCTAAAGTCGATGTTTAAATATGGTTACGAGGGGTCGGTTTTAAAAAATAAACCCTAATAGACTTGTTCGACCCCAAAAGCTAAATTATTTGAAAAGCACCCGAATTTCTTCATTTCATTCAATCGAGAAGGCAATTAAATAAATTATTAAAATATATTGTGTTTTATATAATATAAATAGTGTAGTGTTTTTCAAATCCACATTTTACAATCTTCTCAGATGAAATTTAGTGAGCAAAAACTAGACTTGATGAAAAACATGCCCAAAACATTTCATCCAAAAAATTCATCTGAGAGGGCCCTAAATGACCTCGACCCGACGGTGGGTCCTAGTAGGCCGGCCTTAGATGGACTACCCTCTATATTGATGATTAAATACGTAGTATATCAAAGCTTGGTTGAGGTTTGATGATTTAATATATGAAAGTTTGTTTTAGATTAATTTGTATTTTAAAACATAATCATTTTCCCTAAAACAAATAATTAACTTGCCTTGGATCTGACCAATAATAACCTGGCCAATTAAAAACACTTGCGGTATTATAATGCAAGTTGGGCCTTCTTACCCTCAATATTATAATATTGCATTATCTATGTTTGTAT